AAATACCAACAGATATGATTTTGAGAAACTTCTGTACACAGGTCACAACGTTGGGGGGGCCTTCCATGGCAATGGGGATGTGGCTTTGTGGGCCTCAATGCTGCTGCCAGTTTGTACTTTATTCACATGTATTACTTGGGTACAAAAAATTTTAAAAAGCATGAATAAGAAAAAAATAAAAATAATAAAATAAAAGCCCCAGCCCTGCCCTGACCGGTTTGGCTCAGTGGCTAGAGTGTCGGCCTGTGGACTGAAGAGTCCCAGGTTTGATTCCGATCAAGGGCATGTACCTTGGTTGTAGGCACATCCCCAGTAGGGGGTGTGCAGGAGGCAGCTGATCAATGTTTCTCTCTCATCGATGTTTCTAACTCTCTATCCCTCTCCCTTCCTCTCTGTAAAAGATCAATAAATATATTTTAAAAAAGAAAGCTCCAGCCCAGCTTAACTGCTCAGACACCTATGGGACAGGCAGGTAACCGAATGGTGAAGGACACGGGCTGGGGAGCAAATGGCTGGACTTGAGTCCTACACCCCAAATAGGTGGCTCACCCAGAGCACCCGCACATAACCTCATTAAAGGAGTGTGTCCTTGTCTGAGACATGGAGACAGTGATCGTGCACATGAAACAGAATGGCCCACAGTAGATGCTCAACGAATGACAGGTAGACCCTTGTGATTTCAGGCATTTGCACCCCCGCCTAAGCCCACTCAGGCCACACCCTCATCAGGGCCCCCCAAAACCCTCTTCTCAGGCAGCACCGAGTGGGCAGATGGACCACCTCTAGTGTTGGGGCTCAGAAGCCGAGGTGGGTGCCCCCTCCCTTTCCCTAGCCAGGAGTCCCGTTTCCTGACCGAAGCTTCGTTCTCTTTTGCCCACAGGTGGAAACGTGGATGGGAAGTTCAGCGTTGGCTACCGCGATGCCGTGGTGAGGACAGTGGTGAACCTGGACCGGGAGACCACGGCCGCGTACACACTCGTCCTGGAGGCCATTGGTACGCACCGGCCCTCCCTGCACACCACACACAGCTGCTCGGGGCAGAGTTCACATGTGGCGCCAGGCCTTGAGCCAGCGGTTCTGCCCTGATGCCAGTGGAGAAAGGGTGGCCAGACATGGACATATGACTGAGTAGTTTCCAGGCATGAGGCTCGGTGCCCGGTGCTATGTGCACGGCACTAAGATGGTGTGGTGGGAGTCACATGAGAGCCAAATGAAAGGCCAGCATGTGGACAAACCACTGCAGAGCAGGCCAAGCAAAGCAGAAAGGGAGGAGGGTCGACCCAAGAGCGGCGGCACAAAGGGTGGTGGAAACGTGGTGGGGGAGGGGGGGGTGACCAAAGAAGGCTTCTTGGAGGAGGTGGCATCAGGGAATACCATTGGATCAGTTAGGTGCAAATTTTAAAATAAACTGACTTCAGGAATATGAGTTCACAGAACCAGTCTGCCAGGAGGTAGATGGGACTTCAGGTATGACGATCTGGGGCTCAGGGGATGCCACCAGGCCTCAATCTCCCTTTGTGGCCTGGCTTTGCCTCTTCCTCACATGGAGACAAATGGCTGCTGCAGCCCCGGCCTCAATCCTCTTGGGTTCAAGTGTAGCAGCAGGAGATAGCACTTGTCTCTTCCCAGTCTCCCAGCGGAAGCCTGGGAGGAGCTCTGATTAGTTCGACCTGCCCCAGTGCCTGTCCCTGACCCCCTGGTCATGGCCAAGAGGGTGAGGTGTGCTGGTGGCTTAGGTCTAAATCGCATGCCTGTTCCTGGAGCTGGGGGGATGGTGGGGGGACAGTCAGACCCACCTGGAACCCCAGGCCTCAGAGGCAGGAAGGGTGGTTCTTGGAGCAACCTTCAGGGCATGGACTTACCTAAGGGCGGGATGGTGCTTATGGGGAGAAATGAGGCAGGCCCACCACCAGCTTGAGGGCCAGGTGCGGTTTCAGTACCAGGAGAAGCAGGGAGGGCATTCAGGCAGAGGAGCCAGCCCATGCAAGGGCCTGGAGGTGGGACAGAGAGAGTGTGTGTGTGTGTGTGTGTGTCTCTTTGTCCCCTTTGCTCTCTTTAGTGTGGCATATATTGGGGAAGGGACTGCAATCAGGTAGAGGCAGCAGTGGAGCCTACATGTTAGACTGGAAGTTCAGGCTTCAGTTTCCAGACAGCAGGAGCCCCTGGGGGCTCTGGGTAGGAAGGAGGGCATGATGAGAACTCTGCCTCCCTGCGGGCCCTGGCCCTCCCAGAAGCACCCAGTTCAGTGTTTGCACTGAAAAGGAATGTGCTCTCGGGCCTCACT